ATTTTATTTATCATCTTGTCTATGTCCACCAGGATAATTTGATGTTGGATAATTGGAATGTGCAAGTAATTCTATTTTAAACATTATCAGAATGTCACTATTCTTGTTTTTAATGCTTTGATAATACAGCTGAAGGTTGCATAAATTGTTCAATTGATTTTCATCTTAGAGTGTTAAAAGGAAATACTTGTAAATGTATTGATGGATATTATGATGAACCAGGATCATCTAAATGCAAAAGTAATTATTAACATTATTTTTATAATAGAATGCTCATATAAATGTGAAACCTGTGAAGAGTAAGCTGAAAAATGTTTGAGTTGTCCTTTAAATTAATTACGTACTTTTGATTCCACTACAGGTTGTCTTTGTCCAGGAGAGTATTATGATTAACAAAATGTCATAATTTGTTAAAGTAATATAAAAATAAATTAAAGAATGTCATTTCAAATGCAAAAATTGTAGTGCCTAAACTGAAAGCTCATGCCTCTCATGCGATCCATTGTCATATAGAGAAATTAAACTTTAATAATGTAAATGCTAACCACATTATTTTGAAATGGAAGTTTAGGAATGTGCAAGTAATTATTATGCTCAATTATAGTTTGTAGTGCTCTTTGTTATGAATGCGTTGATAGACTTGATAATTGTACTTCATGCTATGATGATAGATATCTAATTGGAAATAAATGTTAATGTGCTTCTAAGTTTTAAGGGGCTTCGATAAGTACATTTGAGTTTAATGGTATGGTTAAATGCTAAAGTAAATCTTCATATAACTGTAAGAGTGCCATTATTCTTGTGCAACATGTGGAGGAAAAGAAGAAATAGATTGCATTTCTTGTATTGACACTGATAATAGGTATTAAGTAGGCAATACTTGTGTTTGCAAAGAAGGATATTATGATGCAGGATTGCCTGTCTGTTAAAGTATTTATCATTTTTTTATCAATAGAATGCAGTTACAAATGTAAAGGATGCTCAAAATAATCTGAATATTGTACTTCTTGTTAAGATAATAGTTTAAGGTAGTTAGTTTCAGATTTTAAAACATGCAAATGCAATTAAAGATATTATGGAATGATGGATAAAAATGAAGTTTGTTAATGTATATATTTCTATGTTTATAATTAGAATGCCATTACTCATGCCTTAGATGTAATGACATCGACACAAAATGTGAATTATGCTCATTTGAATCAAATAGAATTTACAATGATTAACTATTTTCTTGTGATTGTGATGTTGGTTACTATAATACTGGAGTTTGAAATCTGTTAAAAATGTCACTATTCCTGTTTAAATTGTAATTCTGGATATTCAAGTTCATGTATTTAATGTGTTGATTCTAACATTTCAAATAGAGTATTTTATAATAACACTTGTAAATGTTTATTTGGATATTTTGATGATGGCTAATCAATTAAATGTTAAAAATGTGATGTTTAATGTTTAAGTTGTATTAATCAATCTTATTAATGTTTATCATGTCCACAAACAAGGAAATTAGAAACTAATTGTAAATGTTAACAAGGATATTATGATATTGGATTACAACTATGTTAAAAATGTAATTCAATTTGTTCTGCATGTGAATTTACATCTAATAATTGCACATAATGTGATTCTGATTAATTTAGAGAACTTAATGAAATTACTAAAACTTGTGATTGTTAAATTGGTTATCTTGAACTTAATGGAATTTGTTAATAATGTGATCAAAGTTGTAAAATATGTTAGTAATAATTGAATCATTGTACATCTTGTGTATAATTTAGAAAATTAAATAATAATAATTGCATTTGTATTGATGGTATGTTTGAATCAATTTAAGATAAATAATGTAAGTTATGTCATAAAACATGTTTAACATGTGCTTATTCAGATTAATATTGTTTAACTTGTTCCGTTGATAATTTTAGAATATTTAAATCTGGAAATACTTGTGAATGTATATAAGGATACTATGAAAATTAAATAACTTATGCATGTGAATAATGTTCAAAATCTTGTTTAACTTGTTCATAATAATATAATAATTGTTTAACATGTGATACAACTCTTAATTTATCTTTAATCAATAATCAATGTTTATGTTCATAATCCTATTATTTTAATTCTTTAACTAATTCATGTTAATGTAATACTATTATATTTATATAGAATGTAATATCACTTGTTTAGATTGTTAAATTCAGAATGAATGTACATCATGTAAATTAACAACCAGACATTTAGATTAAGATTAAAAGAAATGCATATGTAATGATGGTTATTATGAAACAAACTAAGCAAATTGTTAATGTATTATACATTATCTACTTTTAGAATGTCATTTATCATGTGAGACTTGTATTAATATCGATACTAATTGCTTAAGTTGTATGAGTATATCGAATAGAATATTAACTAATAATTAATGTTTGTGTATATAAGGATATTATGATGCAGGAATTGAAATATGTTAAAAATGTAATGGTAAATGTAAGACGTGTTAATCCTCTGCTTTAACTTGTTTATCTTGTTATCAAATTGAACAAAATAGATATTAATCAACAGATAAATGTTTATGTAAATCTGGATATTTTGAATCAAATACTGATATCTGTTAAAGTAATCTTAATTAATTAATAATTTAGAATGCTCAAACGAATGTCTAACATGTTAAGGTTCGCCTGATTATTGTACAAGTTGTGATACCAATTCAAAAAGAATAGATTAATCATTTATTCACAAATGTCCATGTATAATTGGATTTTATCAAGATCAAAATTAGATTTGTTAAAGTAAATATCCAAATATTATTTAAAGAATGTCATTATAAATGTTAAACTTGTATAAATGTAAGTGATTAATGTTTAAGTTGTAAATTTGAATTAAATTCAAACAGAAAGTCTTTGTCTGATTAATGTAATTGTAAAGAAGGTTATTATGATGATGGAACGTAATCATAATGCTAAAAATGCAATGTTAAATGTAAAAGTTGTATAAATGATTCAAATAACTGTTAAATTTGTTAAAATTCAATACGATTTAAACCCCCAATGTGTAATTGTATTGATGGATATTATGAAGATTCATAATTGACATGTTAAAGTATTTATTATCTTAAAATAAGTGTGTGCATATTAATGTAATACATGTGCTACTTAACCATAAAATTGTTTGACTTGTAAACCAGGAAGATCTGGAAATGATTGTAAATGTAGTGATGGATATTTTGAAAATGGATCCATATTATGCGATTGTATTAATTATTAACAATCTCATATAGAATGTGCATTTCAATGTGATACTTGTAGTAATTCATCATCGAATTGCAACAAATGTAAAGGTAATAGAATTTAAGAACCTTAATGCATATGTCAACCAGGCTATTTTGATGATCAATTAAATGAAGATTGTTAATTATGTGATAGCTCCTGTTTGGAATGTAATAAATTTGGGTGTTTATCTTGTAATGCCAATAGAATAATAAATGATGATATGAATTGCGTGCCTCCACCAAATTCAATTTGGTATTATAATACTCCTTGGTGTTCAAGTAAGTGAATTTCAATATTTTTAGCTTGTTAAGTTGCAGTTATTAAAGTATACTTATCAGATGATATCAGGAGAATAATTATTCATTTTGATTTCGTTTTAAATTCAAAATCATTTAATTCATAATTTGAATTAAATAAATGTTTGTAATTATTTGAATTAGAATCTGTCTCAAATTTTGGGTTAAATTGTTAATGCTTTCTTGATCCAGATGATAATAATCAATTATTTATAACTTTAGGAGAAAACTCAAAAATAAATGTAGGTGATGAATTACTATTTCTAAGTAATTCTTTATCTCATGTTAATTGTGAAACTACTTTAAACAAGTTTATTTTTCCAACATTATAATTGCCACTAAACCCATTGGCTCCATAAATTGAGTATATTGTACCTTTACATAAATTGAATCCTTATACAGAGAACTCAGTTTATTTGAAATCAATAAAAAACTATGGATTTAGAAAATTAACTAATATCAACTGGACTGTTTAAGCAGAAACAAGCCAAATTACAGTATCCTTGAGCGATTTCATTACATAAATCAATTTACTTTAGGAATAAAATTTACTTATACCCAAACTTACATTACCTGGTGATGAAATTCTCAAATTTAAGATCTAATATGAAAATTTCATTAATATTCATTCATAATCAGAATTTACAATATAAACTCATTCAGGATGCCTTCCATATATTGAAATAACTGCAAAACCTTAATATTTTGTTTATGAGACAATTACTATAAGTTTATCTGCTAACACTATGTATTAATCAAATGAAACGGATAGTTCTAAATATTAGATTGAAATTAGTGAAATTGATAGATAACCTTAAAAGTCATCGTCTTCACAATTAAATAAATCCTTGTAATCAAATCCTTTTGAAAAAAATTAAGCAAGCATTCTAAAATATACATTAAGCCCTAATACAACTTATACATTCTAAATTAATGCATCAAATTTAAATACTAATAAGGCTCAATAATAAAATTTGAGTATCTACATTCCATATGCTGGATTAATATGCAAATTTAACAACAAAGGAATCTAGAGTATTAGAAAGGATCTCAATTTATAGATATAATGCAGAGATTTAGACACAATATATGATTGGAATACTGATCCAGATTTGTATGTCCAAGTAGCCTGTAAGGATTTAACTTTAAATAGCACTTGCATAAATTAATTAAAATAATTAATTAATGTCAATGTTACAGATACATTTTAATTTATTAAGAAGAATTCAATTTCTTCCTTAACTGTGTAGGAATGGTCAGTCATAGTAACCAAATTTGACTAAATTTACAAATTTACATAAATTATCGTTTTTCTTGAGGATGATTTCCCTGTTTTTAGATTTAGAATTTAATGAGGGTTATTTAATGAGACAAGTTAATAATTATGAATAGCTGAATTTTACATTTCTAATCCCATTCAATTAAAAATCTTAGTTATTAGATCTATCAATTGCACTTATATATAACTATCAGATAATAGCAATACTGTAACCTAAATATTTTTCTCATTAATTTAAGTTATTTAATAGTCTAGAAGAGTTAAAATTGGGGAATAACATAAATCTTAAATTTACAGCATAATATACAAACAATATCATGCCTAGTCTAAATACCATAAAACTGACTATTAATTAACCTCCTATCTGTTCAAAATTAACTATTACTCGTTCTAATGATTAAGCACTTTCAAATATGATGGTTACAACTACTTGTTAATACTCAGATGATTCTCCTTATAAGTACGAACTTAGAGTATTTTTGAGAGAATAAGATTTAACAGATTTTTTGAAAGGTTCATCTGATAATTCCTTAATTTTTTATCCTTATTAGTCATAAACCCAATTTTAGATTTTAATTTCCTACTTCAGTGGATTCTTCAAAAATTGGGCTTTTATTATAAGTGCTTTGATTAAGGAGGATCAACAACTCCTATTTATGAGTTAATTACTTCAACCCCTGCAAAAATTAATTGTTCCTAAATATAATTTACAAATTTGAATTTGTAAAACAAGATTTCTTTGTTATTTGAAGCAATGAATTAAAAATGTAATTAGTTACATAATTAAATTTATCTTGATTTACTTTACTAATAAATTTTGCCAGATTAGAACGATAACATCCTAAAATTTTAAGCTATAAAATTATATAGGTAGTTTTTAATATAGTTTGGATAGACCAAACCTAAGAATCGATTATTATTTGAATCAAATTAAAAAGGATGCTATGATAAAAATTCAGGTCGTTTCTTTATTACATAAAATGAGGATGAATCTAATTCAAATTCAACAACAAAGATAGAAGAGTTACAAGATAATGTTAAGAAATTAGATTCATCATTTAAATATTTTAGAGGAATGAAAAAGTAAAGTGAAGAGGGGCTCAATCAAAATAATTATGTTTGGAATCAAGAACTTTTCTAATAACTATAAAACTTTTAAGGAGGTTTAACCAATCTATTATACTTTGTTGATGAATTGTATTCTAACTTTTTATCAGCCAATACAACAAATACAACAATTTACTCAAGCATTGTGGAATTGTTAAAGTATAAAAGTACTATTACATATGAAATATAGAATAATATTGTTGTTAATGACTAACCATTATATATTGAGGGTAAAGATATGATTTTTTAATTAAAAAAAAGAACAAAAAAGATATTCAATTAATAATTTAACGTTGAACCAACTTTTGAAGACTACATAATAGATTTTATTCAATATGAATCTACATTTCTTTCAATAAATCCATTAATATTCAGTCCAGAGTAAGATAAAATACTCTAATAACATTTTAAGGACAAAACTATGCAAATATTGTCAGATAATTATTACTTAATCAAATTATTCAATGTTATTTAAAACAGATATTTAAAAAATGAAAATATTTCATCTTAATTTGGCACTAAATTTGGAACATATGAGAGCTGTTCTAATTAAACATAAAAAATTAAAGAATATGAGATATTGTGTATTTCAAGAACAGTCTCTGGAGGATTCAGTTAATGCAATTTAAATAAGATAGAAAACAACGAAACTATTGAATTAACTTGTAAATGCTAGAATTTTGGAGAAATATTTTTGGTTTCTTCTACAAATTTTAGTGTAGATGTATTCAATAATAGCACAGAAGAAACTAATTTTACTATTACTTCAATCAAAGATGATTTCTTTATTTTGATTATTTGTACAAGTTTGTTGACTATTATACTTTTTGGAATTTATATTTTTTAATTAATCAGGGATTTGAAAGATAATTCAGATGATGAAATGTTATAAGAAGTTTGTAGTGTGAAGGTCGATGTAAATAAAATGATGTACAAAGGAAGTTCTACACTTTTCAAATAAAAATTCAAAGTATATTTTTAATTTAATTATTAGGAAATACATCAAGTCATTTCACTTGTTAATTATAAAGACTAGTAAATTAAATTTAGTTATAGAATTTTAGAAGTCATATCCTAAATTAACTTATTGTTAACATTTAATATTGTAGAGTTTTACTTCTAAAGTCTTAACAAACCCCTCATTTTTGCTTTTATGATAGTTAACCCTATTATTGTTTTTATTCTGAGAATAGCTTATAAAATTATTGAAGCTATATACAGATTCAGAAATATTCCTGCAATTATTAGTTCGTTCATTCTAATCATATTATTGATATTGCCCAATATTGTCCTCTTTATTATGTACAGAACTAGGTAATTATCCATTATATTTTAGATCGGAAGCTCAATCAGAAATATATTTAATGGCTATTATCTTCTTCACGAATATTCTAATTTCATAAACTATAATTGAAGCAATGGCAATATTTGGAAGAATTTCAATTTATAGATATATAGCCTCAAGCCTCAAATAAATGGAATTTAATCCATTATTTCATTTGATGCATTTTTTCGTTCTTCACAGTTGTCTTGAAGATATTTATGACGAATTCTTAAAAATTTGAAATGATACTTTGAATTATATCTTTAATTATATTAAAATAAAAATTGAATATAAAAAAGAATCAAAATTATAATATATAAAAGAGTAAAGACTTGATTGAAATTCATAATGTATTCATTCATAGTATTAAATTATCAAATTTATAGTTATTCACTATTTATTTAAATGACTTAGATTAAATATAAATCTAATGTTTAAAAGCAATTTCATTAAGTTTAATTATATCTCTGATTTATTATGTTGTTATGAATTTTCACTTGAATTATCATTTGAATATACTTTGACTTTAATAAAATAGTTAGTCAGATTATATCAAGCTATGATATAAACCATATAATTGATAGAAATGATAGTAAATTTATCATGATTATAAAAAATAAAAGGTACTTTAAGTATTCAAAGCACAAATATTATTATTTTAATACTTTGCTAAATATAATAAATGATGTTGCTGAATTTTACATATCTAGTTAATAAAATGAAATAAATAATTGATAATATATATGATGTATTTGATATATCAAGTTTTTCCGAAAATAATCATTAAAATTTCGAGTATTCTCAAAAACAAGATAACAATATCAACGTATAATAACATGGCTGCAATAATATAATCATCAATTGTTAAATAATTAGACTAAATTTGAATTATAATTTTACATGATTGCCAATAATAAGTTAAGTATCAAAGATGATGTATCCTCCATATATGATTATGCATATAGTACATATGAATAAATGGAACCAAATATTTCTAACGAATAAGCCAATAATGCACATAATCAAAACACTCATACTTAAAACAAAGCAGAAATGTCCTTGAATAATAAATGAAGTAATCAACCTGCAGCTGAATAATCTGTTTTTGTACGCCATGCATATATAGTGAGCATAATAGTAATTGCCACAGTGATTGATGCTGCAATGATGACCAATTGAACTATACAATATTTAAATTGAGAATTTACCTCCATTTGATAATAATTCAAAGCAAATGATGCAAGGTGCAGCCACAACAGTACTAAAGCATAGAGTAAAAATAGTAAGTAGTATGTAATTGAGAGGCACCTATAAGATATTATATATTTCATACTTTTCTCGCCACTTTTCTGCAACAAAAGATAGCAACTTCAATGACTAAGGCAATTACAAAGCAAAATATAGTTAATGGTGTGTATTGAATTGTTGATGCATTGATGATGGCATTTCTTACATTTTGGAAATAATAAGATGCCAAAATTAACAGAAATGTGATAGCAAGTTAAAAACTCATGATGGCATAAACTTTCACAATGAATCCAGCTCTAATATCGGAATCTGCAGAGCTTACTAAACCTGAACATTCAGAATCATTTACTGCCATAGGATTATTAAATGCAGCATGATTAACATTTCCAATTTGATAGGCAAGTTGTTGTGGCTATTTATTATTTTAATTAAAAGGATCTTATTAATTAGGAGTTTATTAATTGTATTAAAGTTATTGATTTGGATCATCAGAGTAATACCTATTATTGTTGTTATACATGTAATTTATTAATATAATAATGATATAATAACATAACATACTAATTCAATTGATTTATTTCTATTGTAAATGATGAATTGCATCATTGATCATATTACTCATTTTTCTATTCTAAAGTGTTACTTTACCTAATGATCCAAGTTGTCTTTCCATTTTATCAACATTCTTATCCTTATCTTCATTACTCATAAGAAGACTTTGAAAACTTAAGTAATTGTAATCCTTTTTTAATGAATATTTTTGAATGACCTTATGCCTAATTAGGATATAATGAGATACTGTTCCAATTCTTTGATTGTTTTAGAAGATTCTAAAATTGATTTCTTGATATCAAACAGTTCTTAAAACTTTTATTATTCCAAGATCTTATTAATGGAATTAGCAATGTCTCTCAATTAATATCCAGCATTGAAATTCCAGATTTCTCCTTATGAATTAACTTTTGGTAGAATGAATAACTTCTGCAACTACTGGAAATTTAAATGAATATGATTGGTATCCTCATCTGGGAAGAATATAGCTTATAAATCAGGTTTAAGTGAAACTTGAAATTTGATGAATTTTTCTAACCTTTAATCATTTTACCATAATTTCTTGAGTTAATCCAATTTGGAATGAAATTCTTTGATGAGTTCTATGAGATTATTAATAGCATGATTGTCTGATTGCATTCTTCTTGCTGTAGACTATTCAGATAGGCAACTTCTTGAAATGTCATGTTAAGGTATTTTGACAGATTGATTAGATGAAATCATGTCTATAGTATCCTTGCTATCAAGGTTTATAGGTTTAAATTTGTTATCAGTTGAGAAGTTGTTTTTAGTAGGAGCAATTATATACTTTTTAGATTTCTAATCAGCTTTAATTTAGGAAACGTAATGGCTTACGTTATTAAGGACTTTATTCATGTCGTGTTTAATTTATCGATTATTTGCTTTGGCTATTTCGATTTGTTCTAAATAGACATTTATGGATGGTGCTCCAAGACTTTGATTTCGTATTCGATTTAGGGTTAATTTGCGTTTAGGTTATAGTTGTTCTTAGGATTCACTCTGAAGTTCTACTGATTGACTGAGATGTTTAGGGAACTCTTATTAAAGTTACACATTTTTAGGGGAGTGGAAAGGTTCTTTGGATTTTGATTTAGTTTACTTTATGCAATCGCTGTTTTGTATTGGTACATGAGGTGCCTTGTAATTAACAAGACTATCTAGCAGAGTGAATTTAGAAAAGCCAAAGGATTTCATAATTTATTTATTTATTTAATAGGTAAATAGATGGAATTACTAAGGAGAGGATTTTAATCATTGGTGTAGATACACAGCAAATTAATCCATAAATATTATCAGCACTTATACCGAAAGAGAAAGCTAAGAACATTCTTGATGGGAGTAGGTAGATATGGAGATGTATAAAATTAAAAGGATCTTTGTATTTGCTGAGAAGATTATCACAATTGGCGATGACATTGACACCTTCATTACGAAGAAATCTTCTTGGAATATACGGCGAGGAATCTTGGGCTATTGTGACAGGAGTATCAGATGGGATTGGTAAAGAGTTTTGTATTTAATTGGCGAAATAGAAATTCAATATTGCCATAATAGGTAGGAATGCAAAGTAGATGGATTAACTCTGTTTATAATTATAGGGTTTTGGAGTCCAAACTAAATTCATAGTGGCTGATTTCAACTAAGGATATGAAGTTGATTTTTATAATAAGATCTACGAATAGCTTCATTATCTAGATATTTCGATATTGGTCAATAATGCAAGAGTATTAGAAACTGGATAATTCGAATAAACAAAAATGGAAGACTCATTCTCGATGTTAAGAGTGAATGCACTATCTACTCTAATGATGACTAAAATTCTAATCAACAAATTATAGAATAGAATTAAGAAAGCAGCTGTGATTACTATTTCTTCTGGATTAGCATATTTGCCTAGTCCATTGGTTAGTGTTTATAGTGGAACATCTGCATTTACAAATTATTTTACTTAATCTTTAAGCTTTACATCACAGAAAATAGACTTTTTGAGTGCCACTCCTTTGAGTGTTAAATCTAAGATGGACAATACAAAAGATCCTGATATTATTGAAACTTCTGAGTTTGTTAGAAATGTGATTAATGATTTGAGAGAGGGCAAGACACATAGTTTTGGTAGTTGTCGACACAGAAGATAGATCAATTTTTTGTTGTGGAGAAAGTAGAGTGTTAGAAATAAAGCTAGAATATTGTTGGGAAACTCTATAAGAGGTGCTCAGCTAGAAACAGGAAGATAGGAGGAAGTATAACAATGAAAGAATAAAATAAAATATATAAATAATAAGTTAGATGAATTATTTTTTAATTTTAGTGTGTGTACTGCTTTGCTATTCGGAAATCATTAATGAGAAAATCAGTCAATTGCCATCTGATTATAATCATAAATGGTATGGAGGGTACTTGAATGACAACCAAATCTATTACTAATTTCTGGTAAGTCAATCAGATCCAGATTCTGATCCGCTCTTTATGTGGATGCAAGGTGGACCAGGTTGCAGTTCACTATTTGGTAGCTTCTACGAAATTGGTCCATTCTAATTCAAACCCTTATCAAATGAAGTATTTGCATTCATCCTATTAAGTCATTCATCAATCCATACGCTTGGAATAAAAAGGCTAATTTGCTATTTCTTGAATTGCCCAAAGGAGTTGGATTCTCCAATCCTTCCAAATATTAAAATGATGCATCCGCTGCCTAAGATGCTTTAGATGCTTTATTGGACTTTTTCGTCTAATTCCCAAATTATGAAAATAGGCCATTTTATATTGGAGGTGAATCATATGCTGGCATGTATATACCCTATCTTGCATCCTTGATTATCAACTAATCCAAGAATACCATCAATCTCAAAGGAATTCTTGTAGGAAATGGTTGTACATTGGGTTCTGAATGCACAGATTTAAAATAGCTACCGTTATTTACTAGCAAATATTAATTTAACATTTATTTTTAAAGAGGATTTCTCAGTCTTGAAGACAAGTAATTACTCTTATTCTTATTAAAATAGATAAAAGTATGATCAATTATGTTTAGATTTCACATCCCCTAGATGCATTGAATTACAAAAATAATTATTGGCTAAAATATAATACTCAAGAGTCGATATCAATAACTTGTTGGGTGAATGTTATCATAATGACCCTGATGTGTAATAAGGAAATGGATAAAATAAAAGGAATCATCTAAATAAACGCAAGAGGTTTTTGCATTTCAAAGGCATTACTGAATTACCATGCAATTATGAATATGGCAACTATTTCATGTTAAATAATAAAACTGTCTAAGATATCATACATGCTAAACATATGAAGTGGGGATCATGCAGTTCGAGTTTAGACTTCAAGGAAGATGAGTAAGGATCATATCGATTCTACTCTCAATTTTTGCATTATGGACTTAAGATTTGGATCTATAGTGGAGATGTTGACAGCAATGTACCTATTACAGGAACTCTGGATTGGATTCAAATGCTTGTTAAGGAATAAAATTTATAGGAAACTGATCCTTGGAGAGCTTGGTTCATGGAAGGCAAGAAGCCTAAACAAAGACAAGTTGGTGGATTGACTTGGGAATTCAATAAGTAACTGAGATTTATTAGTGTAAGAGGAGCTGGACATGAAGTTCCCTTTTGGAAACCATAAGCTGGATATGTTCTTTTTGATAACTTTATTTATAATAACACAATTTGAAATCATTGTTATCAAAGTAACTTAACTAATTTTTCATAATTATTTTACAAGAAATCAATTATGATTGCCAATTATTCCAAATGGCCTTCTTTCTTATTTTGAAATCGATTCAATCCTTTAATGCCCATACTTGCTTTCTCCAATTTGGCTACTTGTTTTTGGGCTTGAGATATTTGAAATTTCAAGACTTGATACAAGATTTCTCTATCTTTTGCATCAAAATGGGGATCACTGAAAACATTCTTGAGTAATTGAATCTTGCGATTTGAAGTCAATTCGTTTTCCATTTAATTTGTTTGTAGGATCAACAAATCTTGAGCAGTGACACTATTTTACAATAACTTGGGTTATCTCCTTAGATACCTATCATAATCCTATCGATCCAATCTCACCTTAAAAACATCGTCGAATGATAGGAAGTTCAATATTTATTGGAGAGTGTATTGAATGGCTCTACTCAAATGATGTTTGTATGTCTTATCAAAATGTTTGTTCTAAAACTTTCTATCCCTCTCTCTCTATTCATATCGTTACTTGAATTGATCGTAGATTGGCTACATGGGTGTCACACTATAAAAGAGTTTTTTATTCTCAATAAAATTAGTTATTATTTATTTTTTCATCAATCTGGTTACTGCTGGCTTCGATTTCAATCTATTATTCTGTCTAACCGTTTCTGGTTTCAACAATTGCTTATCCTTACTTGCATTGCTCAAATCTCTTTTGTCATACACTTCTCCCTGGCAATCGACGTGCCTATTGGAGATGCAATTATTGTAAAAGTAGGGACTTTGTCTCTTGTATTCTTCTCTCTCAGTGTATGGCGAGGTGATAAAGTTTGGTTCAGAGATAAGGTGTTTTCTCATATCGTAAAAATATTATTTATTTATTCATCAATTATTCCATCGATGTGAAAAAAGAGACATGTAATTATTATGAATAGAATTATTAATAATTATATTAATATATAATTTATAACAGATGGAGTTAGCTATCATCATGAGTTAGTTTCAATAAGCTATATACTAATTGTAATGCGCATTGCGTAAAAATAAAGAAAACGATATTATGAAATCCATGTTGAGGATCATATTCGCTAATGATATCTACGAAGTCGATTAAGAATAAGTCAAACACTTGGAGAAGACCTTCTATTTGGACACTGATACAGCTAGCATTCTTTCAATCTTATTGAGCTCATTTTAGACAAATGGTAATCATTATAATTTTTACATTAGGATTCCCAGAATTAGAAGATTATCTAAATCTATTGTTGTATCGCATAGATTGTGGAATTTGTTTATTAGAATGTCATTCTTCCTATTCTTCCAGTCCACTTCAATTTTACTCGAAATATGAAGTAAATGAAAGAATACAAAAGGAAGAATGCATCAAAAAGAAAATCAAAAAGTAAAAAAAGAAACGCTCATCCAACCCATCAAATAATGATAATTAATGTAATAAAAGAAAAGATTGAGTTACTTACTATTTTTAAATTTTATTAGCATAACAAAATAATATATACAAATATTATTATAATAATGATATTCCGTAATTGTGATTGTCCATACTATAAATATAAATGAAATACGAACACTCAGATAAAATAGAAGAATAAACAATCAAACTCGAAGAACTCATAACTCAAGTCCAATAAGATTTACAAGAAATAGAGTAATACAAAAATAATTGTTAAAACAAATGCTAATATTGTTAACTGGTTCATAACACTTAAAATATGTCATTTAAGAATTGCATCCAAAACTTATTCTAGAAATCCAAATAACTAATAAACAAATACGAATCAAATCAAAATAGAACTGTTTTAATCAATAGATTCAGAAGCAGGAAACAACTATTACTAAAATTTTATAAGAAGAGATCCTAAGAAGGTTGGTTGATTCAGCAAATCTAAAAATGGAATGAGTTTCTAAAGAGTTATGAGAGGACAAGATTTTACCCTGGAAAAATGGCAATACATTAGAGATGGACCTTCTATGTGATAAAGGTGTATCATTGTCAGTATTGTTTTAAAGAATTCAAGTCAACCTACCGAACTAAATATCACATGAAAAAGCATTGCAGAAAACGGTCAATTCTATTTGCAGAGAAGGAACCAATAGTTAAGAATAAAATCATGAAGACTATCTTTAAATAATTCTGATTATAATTAATTACAAAATATTATATACATTACTCATATTATAAATTATGGAAAATTTTCTTAAGGATTGGATAATAAAATATAATGCAATACAACAGTGATTCGAGTGTAGAAATCATTTTAATTGAGAATGAAAAGTCAAATAGTTTTAGAGAGTCAAAAAATAACAAAGCTTAGATAAAGAAGTTATTTCAACAAGGAATGAATTTGATTAAGAAGGATGAGGTTCTAAAGGGTAGTCCGTAGATTTATGAGTTGGCCAAGAGGAAACTTATAAGTTGGAAGAAGCATTTGAAAGGGCTGTTGAAATAGCATAAGGATGAGAAGATCGTTGAACTGTTGGAGAAGAAGAGGAAGGCTTTGAGTTAGTATGAAAGGAGTGGAATTCATCCTGATGTTGTAGTGAAGAAGGGATATTGGGTTGTTTTCATGGAGTACAGATGGGAGTGTAGGAAATGCAAGAGATAATTCATGGAGAATAAATACGCCAAGAAACATATGGCAATAAGGTGTTTTAAGGGGGAATCTAATCAAAAATCAGAAGAGAAATAAGTTATAATAAAGAAGATATTCAAGAGAGCGTGATAAATGTGAATTGTTTAGTTAAATTTGATATAGTTATTAAAACAATTAAAATGAAACAGACAAGAGTTCAATCTGCTGCTACAAATTCTCGTCTTCGAGATAATCATTATGATCCTAAGGTGCACGCTAAGGCTTGGATTGCTCCAGGTACATGTTGAAATTTAAATTAGGAATCTTTAATTAACTACCTAAGTATGAGCATTTAGATTCTGGTCTAGTGGTCATTCATTAGAAGAATAACAAAATGAAAAAGTTTAAGGAATTGTCTGAATTAAACTAAGAGATTGAGTAAATGCAACAGAAAGATGAATTCAGAAAGTTTAAGGAGTTTGAGAATCTATATAATGGCGATTTGGTTGTGACAATTGAATATTGGTATACATTTGAGTAACAGTCAATAGTACAAATTGTGCTCAGCATGCAGGTTCAACTAGACATGACGAAGAGAAATATTATACATTCGCCACCAATTTAAAATAGGAACTCATTTAGTAATATCCAACAGCTAAAGTTTACTTGAAACCATTGATTTATGATCCCCATGATAATTCAATAGACACCCTCTATATTTAAAGGCGAATTGGAGCATTTGAAGTACAGGTCTGCTCAAAGAATAGAGATCAAGTTAAAAAAGGGTTACTATTTTCCAAGTTGAATACTAAGATGTGGCCAAACTACACAGAAGTCATTGAAAGAGTCAGTGATTATTTGAACACTGCTCCATTGGAAATTTATGTCAGCTTTGGTGAGAACATCACTGGCAATCTAAATAACATTGAAGTCGCTCTGATTCCACATAGACAAGACAGACCATAATCAAGTTCTCACGGATATCTTCACAGACCAAAAGAACCAATAGAACTGCCACGAAAGAAAGAAAAATCATTGCTAAAACTAATAATCAAGGGTACATCAAATTATAAGATGTTCCTGTTGATGTATATGTTGTTGAAGTGCAAGAATCTAATGATTATCTTAATGAACAATTGTTATTGAACATGGTCGAAATGGCTGAACAAAGTAATGATACAATACAAGTTGTTATTAAACTGAGAAAACAAACTCATTCATATTTGGACTTTAAAATATTTACTTAATAGGGTTCGAATATAACTGAAGCCAAAATTACTATAACAAATCTTCAAACGCAAGAAAGTATGTTATCAAGAGAAATCGAACCTGGCAGATATGAAGCCATCTTAGAACCTAATTAATACGCTTTCACTATTTAAAAGAGAGGTTACAAAGAATTAAGTCAAAATTTTGATGCAGTTTAAGGAGTCAATGAATTTAAATTGATCCTTGAAGTAGATCCAAATGATCAATAACCAATTAAGCCACCTTAGTCAGCCAAATAATTATAACCAATACAAAAACCAAGTAGTGCAAGACCAACTAGTGCTTAAAGATCATAATAGGGTAGTAATACTAATCAATCTTAATTATAAATGAGTAAATAATAATAATAGCAATAACAACAACAACAACACTAATTATAATAGTAATCATAGTTACCACCTAAACCAAAGTCTTAATAATAGTCTATGCAATCTTATGAGTAACCTGAATATATGGAACCAACTAAATAAGAAGCTATATCAAATCCTAATAGACCTATTTCAGGTTATAAATCTACATAGGTTTTTATATATGATCCATACACTAATTTACCAATCGAGGGAGTTTAAGTCATTTTGAATGAAGAATCTACAAAACAAGCATAGACATATGTAACCGATCAGGAAGGAACTTGTAGAATAATTTTATAAGGTGTCTTGGAAGGGAAAATGGTGATTTAAACGTATTCTATTATTTTTAATTGTTTTTAGTGAAGGATACTTCCCAATAGTTGAAGAGTATGGAACAACATAATCTAAAATGAATTTGTATCAATTGAGAGAATTGTCATTTCCTTTGATTCAACATCTGGAGGACAAGAATTCAGTTATGATTTTAGTTTAAACCAATGTAGAAGTGATGCCAATAGACATCAAGATGATTCTACCTGATAACGTGCAGATTGATTAGAGTCATCAGAACGTACTGTATGACTTGAATGATGAATCTGGATGCTAAAGAATTATAGTACATGATCTTCATACGAGAAAAGGTGTGTATAGAATCATTGCAGACATAATTGAACCTGATTATGTACACCCTCAACATTTGAAAGTGTACATCATAACAAACAAAGATTTGAAATTAGTTGATGTCCCCAAGACCATTAATTAAGAGTAGATCTATTGGGATATTGGTGTAATTTGTGGTAATATATACAATTCATTAATTAATAGCTCCAAATTCTGGATTTCTGGAGATCAACACTCCCACTGATGAAATTTTGAAGAGGGATAAATACCTCAAGGATTATCAGAGTTTGTTGCAATTCTTGAAGAATTCTAAGAATATGGATCTTAAAACCATCTTGGGATTCAATGACAAGGAGAGACTCGAATTACAAGGAGATGTCTTTGTGTAGAAAGATAAGATTAAAAACACTCTTGATAAGTATGGGTTCGAAGCAATCACTAATCTTGATTATTTGATATATTCAGCCATGATGTCTAATGGATTGTACAGTTTCAAAAGACTGGAGTAGAAGTTTGGCAATCTAGATTTTGAGTTCATATTTGATGATGAGAATTCAACTAGTAAACAGAAGGAGATGAGTGAGGATGAACCTTATGATGATGATTATGATATATGAAATTATTATTAAATTAAAATGACTGATAAATTATATACATTTTCGACTCTATTTGGTAATGTTAATAACTGATAACTTATAGAATACAAATATGAAAACGTAAATCCAAAAGGTAACTATGTTTAAAGATTTCAATCGAAAAACAGGAAGATCACTTCTAATCGCCCAGATTATGAATTGCCCAATAACTCAATCCAAACCAGTAAATACACCATAATCAACTTCATTCCAAAACAACTATATGAGCAATTCTCTAAATTAGCAAATATCTATTTTGTGGTAATACAATAATGTTACAAGTAGATTATAGGAGCTCTGCAAATGATTCCAGAAGTTTCAATCAGTTCTGGAGTTCCGACAATTTATCTACCTCTAGGCTTTATTATCCTGATAAGTGGAGCTAAGGATTTCTATGAGGATTACAAACGTCGTATATCTGACAATGAAGAAAATAGACAACCTATTTTAACCTACGATGGTTACAAATTTGTGTCCATACCCTCAAGTTCACTTTATGTGGGTTAGATCATAAAAGTTCATTAAGACGAAGTCGTGCCTGCTGACATCCTCATACTCAGAAGTAGTGAGCAGAAGGGTATCTGTTATGTTGAAACCAAATCATTGGACGGAGAAACAAATCTTAAATAAAAGAATGTACACATAGATCTATTATAAACTTATACCTCAGATGACTGCTTTGGTTAGGAGGATAAGAGAATTATTTTAAAATACTAGGCACCCACTCCTTATCTTTATTAGTTCATAGGAGAAACAACCAACTCATAATAGAAGGTGTCTGCTATGAATTTCAATAATTTCATTCTCAGAGGGTGCAATCTAAGAAACGTCAAGTATGTTTTTGGATTGGTGACTTATACAGGGAAGGACACCAAAATAATAATGAATTCAACCAGAGCAAGGTCTAAACGAAGCAAATTGGAACAGCAAATGCAGAAATTCATACTCATAATCTTTTTAACCCAATTAATCTTGTGCATAGTGGCATCCATCGTTTATGCAATATCGTTTTATAATAAAAGGAATTAATTAAGTTATTTATATATAGAGCCTTCTGATAATGAATATAACATAGCTTATAACTTCTTTGTTAGATTTGGTAATTGGATACTCATCTTTACAAATTTTGTGCCGATATCTTTATTGGTCACATTGGAGATGGTGAAGTTTATTCAAGGCAAATTTATGACTTTGGATGAAAGATTAAATTAACCTAAAGTACAATCATCAAATTTGAATGAAGAAATGGGTTAAGTAGAACATATATTTTCAGACAAAACTGGTACATTAACGTGTAATATTATGGAATTTAAATAAATAATCATGTATTAAATTCAATAAATCTAATAAGAGGTAATTAAAATTATGGTGATGTAAATGAAAATTAAGAGGATTACTTAAGCAACGATGAAATACTTTCATATCCACAAGTTACGAATGTAGATTTTAGAGATAAAAAGCTTATAGAGGCAATCTAAGATGAGAATCACTTTATGCACAAATAAGTGAAAGATTGTCTATTAATGCTAAGCATTTGTCATACTGTGATTGCTGATTTGAAAGATAATAAATTAATATATAATGCCACATCTCCAGATGAATTGGCTTTATTGAATTTTGCTAGATTTGTGGGATTTGAATTTTTGGGTACTGATGAGAATGGAATAAAGAGAGTGAGATATCAAAATGACATCCTGGAATTCCAATTGTTGGAGGTATTTGAATTCACTTCTCAACGAAAACGATAATCTATAGTGGTATAGATGAGAAATTCAAAGGATAATATCATATTGTATTCGAAGGGAGCAGACTCAATTCTATTATCAGAGACAAAGTTGTCTAAGAAGGAATTGCAGAGTGAGGATTACCATAATCTGGAAAACAAATTGCTTGATTATGGCAAGGTTGGATTAAGAACATTGGTTCTATGCAAAAGGACAATAGATATTTAGACATATTAAGAATGGAACAAGAGGTATTAAGAAGCAGCATAGAGTCTTGAAAACAGAGAAGAGAGAATGTAAACATTATAAGATGAACTAGAAAAGAATTATGAAATCTTGGGAGCAACAGCAATAGAAGACAAACTGCAATAGAATGTAGCAGAGACAATATCAGCAATTAAATAAGCAGGAATTAAGGTATGGGTCTTAACAGGAGATAAGATAGAAACAGCGATAAACATAGGATACTCTTGTCAATTACTCACAAATGAATTGGTGTAACATGTAGTCGATGAAAAAATGGAATCACTTGTAGTGGAGAAGTTGAATGAGACAATAGGCTTGATTAGTAAGTAACCACATAATTAACATGCCCTAATTATCTCAGGAGATGCCTTACTGCATTCTTTGAAACCACATATTCGCAAAAACATGATTCAGATAGGCGAATCATGCAACGTAGTATTGTGTTGTCGTGTAAGTCCAAAGTAGAAATAGGATGTAGTTACATTGATTAGGAATCAAAAGAAGAATGTGTGTACTTTGGCTATTGGAGATGGAGCCAATGATGTAAATATGATAACAGCAGCACATGTGGGAATAGGCATCAGAGGAGTGGAAGGACAATAAGCATCTAGAGCTGCTGATTATAGTGTATAAGAATTCCAAGAGTTGAGAAGACTATTGTTTTACCATGGAAGGGAATGCTATAGGAGAAACAGTACTTTAGTGTGTTACACCTTCTATAAGAACATCTTGGTTGTGCTTCCGCAATTTTGGTATGGAATCTTATCGATGTACTCTGCTTAATCCTTATATGACACATTCATTTATTAGCTATTCAACATATTGTATGCAGCCTTGCCAATCATGATCTATGGAGTCTTTGATGAAGAACATGATTCGGATGCTCTAACCGAAAATTCTCAATATAACTATTACGAATAAGGTCCTTAGGGTAAACTATTCAATCTTAAGATATTTCTATTTTGGGTGTTCCAAGGATTGTGGCAGACATCCATCATTTGTTTCTTTCCTACTTTCTGTATGTCATCCAACTTCATCGATGATAATGGATACATGCAACATCTGTGGGCTTAAGGCACAATGATTTTTGGATTAGTTATTGTTGTTTGCAATCTAAAAGTCCTCATATTCTCAAATGTTTACACTCCCGCTTTATTAGTAATAATGATTATTATTCATTTTAGGGAAGCATATCTTTTAGTATGCTCTCGTATTTGATTTCCTGGATTATATTGGATAATATCAGTCAGGCTGAAGCTTATGTTGTTTTAGAGAGGTATGATTAAATATTTTATTTGTAGTTTATTTGCAACTCCGAACTTCCATTTTGGGAATGTTCTAGTTATTGTAACCATTGCGGCCATTGATTCGGCTATCAATTTGAAGTTAAGGAAGATGATGATTGCCTCGAAAAAGAAGAATCAACCGATTTATTAGCAACCAGAGAAGAATGAACAAATAATCAAAGTGATTAATAGAGCCAATACTGGATTCGCATTCAATTATTTGGATGTAGATGAACTTGAAAATCAAGAAAAAATTGAAGTATATAACCTAGAAAATTAAGTGGTCCCAGAAAACTTTAATAACAATATATATTGATTAATGTTATATTGTATTGTTTTAGTATTTAAAATTATTCAATTCAAATTCTTGATTACTATCTTATAATGACATTCAGTCGAGCATTTTCATCAATATAATAATTTAATTAATTTTTTAAATTCTCTATCAAATACATATTCTTTTATTCATATATTAAACCCTACTATATATGAGAAAACTCTTCAGAAATCTTCTTCAATTCATTCTTCAATTACTCTATCTCCTATTCCTATTTCACCTACTATTACTCCATCTATTTCTTTAATTCATACTCCTTCTGTATTACACTATGTAATCTATCATTCTCCATACAAAGCATCAAATATCTCTACTGCAATTATTGCAAGGGCATCAATTGCTATTAAGATTGCAATTTGACTTTCAAAGAGTCAACCTCAAACTTCAATTGAGTAACTTATTGTTGTGATTGACTCAAGCTCTGACTAGTTGCATGTATTTACTAGGTCTTATGTGTTATTTCATCCTATAATTCCTTATTAAATTTATCAATGATCTAATATTATTGATCTTTTTGTTAAGTCATAAATTACACCTTCTGATTTATGGTATTTAAAGTGTTTCGAATTTCTTGATTCTCCAAATTCTTCTCTTCCAATATTGCCTTGAACTTGAAGATTTCTTAGTCTTTTACTTATAATTATTACCTGAGCAATTGAGTTTCATCCTGATTTTTATTTTGAGAATGACATTAAGATTCCAATTGATGATGCAAATCCTTGATTACTTCTTATTTTATTTTAATTTCCTTCAATTGTTATTCAGACACTTTGGATATCTATTCCAATTCGTTCACCAATCTTAGTTGATCCTAATACATCTTGTCATAACTGTGTTTGAGATTCTCGTAATCAATTGCCTATTAATTGATCTGATCCTTCATTTTTTAATTGTGCTATATCAATATTTTTATCTCTTTCTCTTTCTCCGGATCACTAGTATTCTACCTCTTCTGCTGTTACTCATTCCCTTTAGAAAATTGAGGTTATGATGGACTGAAATGCTATTGAGTTGATGGACTTATTCTCAACGGAGAAAAGATGTTTTCTTTTCTGTGCATTAATGGCATTATCTATTAAGATGGCTAAAAGACAAGCCTTCTCTCAATTGGGGCTGTGTATTACATTTTCTGTTAAATATTTTAATCTTAAATAAATAATATATATATTGTTATATTAGAAAGTTCTCTACAACAATTTTAGATTTAATTTATAAATAAAGATGGAGATTGAATTAACCAATCAGACTCAATCCTCCAATTGCAGCCGAGAATTAGATAAATCAGAATTTAGAGATACTTTTAATATTTTCTAAATCCCTCCCAACTTCGAATTAGCCATAGCACATAGGGTATACCAAATGGATGATTATGTAGAAATCCACCTATGTACAAGAATTAAATAGCAATGGCGAAATATGCCCTTGCTGTGGCAGAACAATAGCAACCTCAACTTTGCCAATTTCAATTGATTTAAAAGTAATATCCTCTCCCGGAGATGGGGCTTCCACCTACTTCTTACTACTAAAGATCTTTATCATTTTATTTTCGATTGATTTGTAATCCCTATAAAAGTAATAATAGATTTATTTTTGGTTTATATTCAATCATTACAAATACAATCGGCTTTTAATGCAAGATGAGTAGGATTTGTGCTAAGAACTTTATCACCTTTACTTCAACATTAAACAGGAATACTTCAATGTATCTAATTCATCAATCCCTAGAACCACTGACATCTTCTATTCACTATTGTAAGTCCTGAGTTAAGCTTCAATGTTAGGATATATCATTTGGTATGCATACACAGATGAATACTTTAAGTAGATGCTGGTACTAAACGATGAACTTATAATCGCAGGATTAACATAATTTTAAGAAGTCGAGGAATCTGTCATTACTCTTAATAAATCTGAACTCTTAGATAAATTTCAAGTTTAAAGTCTAGATTCTTTGTGTTTTGTCTATAAGATGAATCACTTTAAAAAGGAGATCCAAAAGTAGATCTTAAAGAGAGTTAAATAAGATGGTCTGTAAGATTGAATACTAATATTATTAGAAACTTGATTGACGCTATTTCACAGACTTGTAATTTGTAACATGTATTGAGAGATTTCTTAAATGAATAAACTTATTTCCAATCTGCTACTGCACTCTTTATTACAAAACCCATGATTCAGAAAAACTAAACAGAAAGATCCTACTTTGTTGGAGGCTATAATGTAAGACCAAGCGATGTAAACTGGTTAGTCAATTAATCAGGTTAGAAATCAAAAACTTGCAGTTGGATTTTGATAATCAGTGGATATGTGATTCAAGTATTAATTGCTAATTTAATTCTTACTCAATTAACACTATTAAATGAAAACGAAGATTCTACTGAAAATGGGAATTAAGTCTTAGGAAAAGGATAAGAAATATTATAGTCATTATTCATAACAATAGCCATCATCTTCATCAATGAATTCATGATTATGTCAATTAAACCATTGATAGGTCTATTGAATCTGCCATCCTAACACAACACCTAGATCTTTGTTATGCTGATGCTCTCTATCTTCTATTTTATACTGTAAATGTCCATCGTTGTTGATTTAAATCTACAATAAAAACAAGGAAACATGCAAAATGAAATGTGGAAACAAGGTGGAGCTTTGGAAACATACTTTTCAATTTCTATAGGAAATGGGTTATCTGCCTTATCAGAAACCTTCTTTGATGCTGAATATTTCCTACATATACTCTTAAGAAAATGGCATTATTATCGAATGAAAAAATGTAAACTAGTTTAATATGAATTGAATTAACTTTATGAAAAAGAAAGCCTAACTTGGACTGATAAAATTGCTTTTATGAACTTTTTGATCTTTGCGAGTATTCTCTTTAGCTAATTTCTCCCCATTTGTCTACCTGCATGCATTATTGTCCTGATATTAACCTACTACTTATAAAAATATCTATATTTGAATCGCTACTCAAAATCAAATGACAATAAATATAATCCTCATATCATAGTGTAACTTCCCTTCTACATGATCCTGTTAAATCAATTTGCCATCATCTAAAGTATGGTTCAATATTTCCTAATTGGAAAAAGACCTGTTGATTTAATAGAGAATACTGAGTCAAATGATTTATCCATGGGTCATACTGATATCATCTGGCTAACAATCTAAATAGTCATTTTATTTACTATTTATTTCATCCAAAAATTGTTTTTTAAAAAGCACAAAGCCCTATCTTAGCATTAAAGTATTCGACTAAGCGAATCTGACCTAGATTAATTCAAAACACTTGATATAAAACAACTAGTATCAATATTGTAATTTTAGGGTTTCGTTGCAAATAATCCATTAATGAATATTGGAAAAATAGAAAACTTTATTGGAAGGAAGTATGAAGAACTTACTAATGATGAACTCAATAATTATTTATAAAGCATGAAACATTCCCCATAGGATTAGTTTTTGTAATCATTGTCTGTAGACCTATATAATAAATTATACAAAAAGTAAATTCTATTTTAATTTAAGAATTAACAAAATTATTAAAATATAACCTTCTGCCATAATTGATTGAATTATTGTTTTTATATTTATTTATTTAATTTCTTATATATATATATATATATTTATAAATCAATTCTTCGAATTTTTGAAGTATTTGCAAAATTTTGATGATGATGCCTTTAATTGTTTTACTATTTACGCTTTTAATTGCATCCTCCTCAAAAGAAAAATAAAAAATTAAAATAAGCACAAAAAAAATAACCAATTTTATTTAAAAATTGTTATCCCCTAAATGATCACCAATTTAATTTATGGTTATCCTGCATCGAGCTTAAGATACCTAATTCTCAGCCACCAAGGTAAATGTGTCATTTTCAAAAAGCTGACTCTATGTATCAAATTTATAACCTAATTCTCCAAAATATATTTAACTAGCATTTGCTTAAAATACGTATAAATGTGTAGTATTAAAAGGATAATAAAAATCATTATTCCATCTGATTGCCCCAAAATAATCAATAAAATTTAGAGGCTCTTTTAAATCATAGAAGTAGGCTTTATTTTAGTCTGATATTAGAATAAGGTAATTTTTATTATAAAAATATAATTTCAAATGATTTCCCAATCCATGCCTAAGTAATTTGTGTACTTTAAAAGAAATCGAATAATTTTACATATTTATGCGAATTTGACTTATTATTTAGACTTGATTGATTATTTGAAATACCAGAATTCTAAAATCCTAATCAAAAATTTCACACTCTAAAAAACTAATTTAATTCTTTTCATTTATTGAATAATCGATAATACTTTGAATGTAGTCTTATAATTCAATAATAATAGTTTATATCTACAGGATTGCTGTTCCAATAGAAACAAAATTATATTCAATAATAGAAAAAACATGGAATTAATAATCTTGCTTAGGTCTCATTTATGAAAAAGATATGTAAAATTGATTGCTCCCATCAACTTTAAGAATATCTAGAATATTTAAATTATTCTCAATAAACTTTATGCTAGAATTGCACGATCATATAGAGTAATAAATGAGATTTAGATTTAAATATTATTAGATCATCCAGTTTTTAATACAAGATATTCTTTGTGCGATTGGTCCAAAGTTATGTTTATCTCAAATATAGGTTATTACCTAAAATGTTATGATTCTTCATTTATCGAATATAGAGCTCCCTTTAAAGATTTAGATATAGTTTAATCCACAAAAAATATTAATATTTACTACTTATTAATTGGTAATACTTTGGCAAATAATAGATATATTGGATGAATAATAAAAGTTTGTCCAAAATCATTTTCAGCTAATACTATATTTATGCTTTAAATTTCGTTAGAGCTCTAGTTATTATATATGATGGGACCAATATCAATTTTCTTGATTCTCCTTTCTTAAATATTGTCATAAACCCACTCAATAAATATTAATGGTCCAATAATATCGGTTTCCTCACTGTCCTCTATTTTTAATCGGTCTATAGAGCCATAAAAATATTTAGAAGGTATTATTTATTTTTAAGTTGAATCTATAGATGAATGATTACTTTTTTAAAACAATTGATAACATTTATTGTAACCCTTTAATGTAAATCCTAAACTAATTGCAGGGTTGCTCTTCGTTTCTGAAATAATTTAAAAAGTAACGTTAGTTTTTATAGCTATTTCATTATATTCAATTGGATCTTAGAATTAAAATTCAAAATATTCTAAATTATATATCATAACTTCATCTTCAAAATTATAATAAAATAATTTATGGCCTTAGAAAAAGAATTCGATTCTACTTGTTTGGATAACTTTTACCAACATAAGAGGTTTCCTTAGTCTAATCTCAAATATTAAAATATAAGTTTTATTTTGACTTAAACTGGCCAAGGCCAAATATCTTGTATTGATCTAGTACTTTATAGGTCTAATCAATTTATAATTGTCTAAATTGAAGGAATACACTTCTGATATCTCTAAAAGATCAAAATAATAACTGTTTAATTAATTATTGATTTAATGTACTCCCAAGAATTAAAACTATTAGTTTAGTAGTTCCTTTAAGAAAATAATCTATATATTTTCTAACCTAAAAATTTGAACCTTTTTACGAATTAAAATTATCAAATATTGATTATACTAAATCAATTTTGGGTTTTCTAATGAAAAGAAAAAGTGATTAGGTGTTAAAATCTAATTTTTTAGCTTGTTTTAGAGATAAATTTAATGTATTGTATTCAAGATTTTATTGGTTTATTCGTTCAATAACATTTATTAATGGTGTTATATATTAATTACTTTAGGATCTTCACCACCTGACGTAAATATTAAAATAATTTATTAACATTAAAGAATTTCAGTAATTTCAACTTAGATCTTAAATTTTTTAATTAATTTCCTCTATAAGCTTATAAGCTTGAATTCTTATTTATTTTGATTATGTAGGAGTAGATAACTTTAAAAATAAAATATCTAACAATTTTAGATATCAACTCTGCTTTTAGATGCATTATGGCAATTTTGAAAATAAATGTAATCTTCAGTTTGAATCATTGAAAAAGATGTGTTAGCATTAGCTTCATAATATAGTAAAATAGTATCCTGCTGATTAAAATTTTAGTGTTTTGGACACAGGAATTTAAAGGAGTATTAATCTAAAATATTTAATTTTAAATCTAAATTTTAATCAAGTTTTATCTCATATTTATTTGGTAATTCCAAACCTTCTTTACTGTAGAATATTGAGGATTCATTTTAACATTAATAATTGAAATCTAAAGTTTAGATTTTGTTGTATTGTTTCTCAATTATGTATTTCATTTCGAAGCAAATTTTAGTCTAGCTATTTTAAATATGATAGTTATTAACTTAGAAAATATATTTTTATGTTGGTTAAACAAAATTTCTAGGATATGAAATTTTATAAAATATTAGTTCTTTAGTACTTTCATCGAGCCAATAGATCAAATTATAATTATTATCAAAATTAATATGCGAAGTATTAAGTTAAATTATTTATTAGCACTCTTAATTGTACATAACTTTAAGCTGACTGTGAGTTTTAGCAAAAAGGATGCTCTCCATCAATCGAATTTATACATCTGTACCTTCAAATGAAGCTATAAATTCATTGCTTTTATGAAAAATTACAGTTTTATTAATTGATTAATTATAGTGAACATAATAATAGAAGAAGCAATTCGATGTAAGTAGAAGATATCTAAAATTAGCAGGAAACTCAAAAAAAATTTACAACTCAACTTATCTTGTCTTGGTCATCAAAAATTAATAATACCCAAACTCACTGATTAAATAAAGCCTATATTAACAAATCTAAACATTCTCTAAATATGATATTTAGACAGGTTTTGCTAACTCTTCATTTACTAACTCTTTAATTTTCTATTACCAATAGATATACAGTCCCCAAGTTTTGCATTAATAGAAAGATATGATATATTAATTATCATCTAATTTAAAATATTTCCTTTTACACATTTCATATTATTATTAGTTGATTTCATGTTATGATAGTAAATTCATTTTGTTGTCTTAATCTATGCAGTATATCTGCAAATGAAAATTATGAAAACAAATTAATATAAATTGTGATTCTAAATTGATGAAAAATTCGTGACATTCAATTCCTTTCAATTCATTAAGCTCAATTGATATAATACTCTACTCATTTAATTAGTTCAATCTATGATTTCCATAATAATCGATTACTTTTATACAAGTGATAAAATAGGTTTGAGTCTTTATAAATTTACAGAATAACTAATCTTCAATTTATCTAAAACTAAAATATTCAATTGTCAATGTGGAGATTATATGTTCATCTACAAAGGATTAAATTCTTAAAGATTCACTAATTAAACTAATATTAGTTTGTTCTAATTCTTCTGTTTCACTCTCAATTAATAATAAATTCAATCTTGATGAAAGGAATTTCTCCTAAGGTTCCATTATTTTTTCGTGACATACCTCTAGCGAACCCATGATAAAGTTCAAAAAAAGAGGTGTGATGAAAAGAGCTAAAAATGATGGAGTCATAAACAATATTGAATATTTAAATAAATATTAAACATAATTCTCTTTCGTAGTGAAATTATTAAAAAATTCAACTACATGTATCCAATCATCTAGTCATATACAAATATACAAGATAAGGAAAACAAAAGAAGTAGATAGAAATGTATTAAGGATAAGCCTTATTATTATTTAAATCTTTTATATGAAATAAAGTCAATATTGCACCTAATGAAATGTTTTCAGACTTATCTTTTTTTAAGATTTTGTAATTTCATTCTATTTTTTAATATAAATAATGATGGAAGAAATTAGGTGATTAAAGTTTATCACAGAGAAATTAGAATAATTAAGCTTTTTATTCAATTGACAGTATCAAACAAATAAGTTTAAAATTGTAATACATTTCTTATTATTATAATATTCAATATCTCTAGTATTTCTTTATTTAATCCTTTACTACTTTTTAATTATAATAGAATAATAATATTATTGATTAGTAAAATCAATAATTTTATCTTGTTTAAATTGTCTAAAATTTTCTAGCAAGCTCTAAATAATTTATGCTACATTCTGCTTACATGAATTAAAATTTAAGTCTGATAAGTTATTTTAGGCACAGAAGATAAAGTTGAAGCTTTTATCATCAATTTCTCGTAGATCGACATCATATTAATATATTATTCCAAAATGAAAATCTGGAATGTCAACTTGAGTAAAATTCGAATTAGATTTATAGAAGTACATTTAGGGATTATTTTTTAATATTTGAAATAAATTTTAATATATTCTAATGTCAGCTCTCACGGAAATTTAATTTTCTTAAACTATTGGATTAATGTTTAAGTATTTTTTTCAAATTAAAATGCAGATGAAAATCCATAACAACAGAATAAATCAGAAATAGAATGAATGAAATTGGTTTAAACTTTAGATTTATATTTAATCGAAGTCATTTAAACAACTAATGGATAATTATGAATTAAACAATTTAATACTATGAATGAATACATTATGAATTTCAATCAAGTCCTTACTCTTTATGTAGTTCAAAATATCATTTCAAATTTTTAAGAACTCGTCGAAAATATCTTCTAGACTGCTGTGCATAACAAAAAAATGCATCAAATGAAATAATGGGTTAAGTTTCATTTATTTGAGGCTTGAGGCTATTAATCTATAAATTGAAATTCTTCCAAATATTGAAATTGCTTCAATCACAGTTTATTATATTACAATATTCACTAAGAAAATAATAACCATTAAATATATTTCTGATTGAGCTTCCAATCTAAAATATACTTGATAATTACCTGGTTCTGTGAATAATAAAGAGGATAATATTCGGCAATATCAATAATATGATTAGAATGAACGAACTAATAATCGCAGGAATTTTTCTGAATCTGTATATTGTTTCAATAATTTTATAGAATATTCTCAGAATAAAAATAATAATAGGGTTAACGATCATAAAAGCAAATATGAGAGATATGTTAAGACTTTAAAAGTAAAACTCTACAATATTAAAAGTTAACAATAAATTAATTTAGGATATGACTTCTAAAATTCTATAACTAAATTTAATTTATTAGTCTTTATAATTAACAAGTGAAATGACTTGATGTATTTCCTAATAATTAAATTAAAAATATACTTTGAATTTTTTATTTGAAAAGTGTAGAACTTCCTTTGTACATCATTTTATTTACATCTACCTTCACACTACAAACTTCTTATAACATTCTCATCGATCTGAATTATCTTTCAAGTCCCTGATTAATTAAAAAATATAAATTCCGAATAGTATCATAGTCAAGGAGCTTGTACAAATAATTAAAATAAAGAAATCATCTTAGAATGAAGTGATATCAAAACCAGCTTCTTCTGTGCTATTATTAAATACATCTACAAAACTAAAATTTGTAGAAGAAATTAAAAATATTTCCCCCAAACTCTTGCATTCACAAGTTAATTCAATAGTTTCATTGTTTTCTACTTTATTTAAATTACATTTATGGAATCCTCCAGAGACTGTTTGCTTGAAATACACAATATCTCATATTCTTTAATTTTTTATGATTAATTAGAACAGATCTCATATGTTCCAAATTTAGTGCCAAAGTAAGATGAAATATTTTCATAAGTTATATATCTGTTTTTAATAACATTGAATAATTTTATTAAGTAATAATTATCTGACAATATTTGCATATTTTTGTCCTTAAAATGTTATTAAAGCATTTTATCTTAGTCTGGACTGAATATTAATGGATTTATTGAAAGATGTGTAGATTCATATTGAATAAAATCTATTATGTAGTCTTCAAATGCTGGTTCAATATTAAATTATTAATTGAACATCTTTTTTGTCCTTTTTTTTAATTGAAAAATCATATCTTTACCCTCAATATATAATGGTTAGTCATTAACAACAATATTATTCTATATTTCATCTGTAATAGAACTTTTATACTTTAACAATTCCACAATGCTTGAGTAAATTGTTGTATTTGTTGTATTGGCTGATAAAAAGTTAGAATACAATTCATCAACAAAGTATATTAGATTGGTTAAACCTCCTTAAAAGTTTTATAGTTATTAGAAAAGTTCTTGATTCCAAACATAATTATTTTGATTGAGCCCCTCTTCACTTTACTTTTTCATTCCACTAAAATATTTAAATGATGAATCTAATTTCTTAACATTATCTTGTAACTCTTCTATCTCGTTGTTGAATTAGAATTAGGATCATCCTGATTTTATGTAATAAAGAAACGACTTGAATTTTTATCATAACATCCTTTTTAATTTGATTCAAATAATAATCGATTCTTAGGTTTGGTCTATCCAAACTATATTAAAAACTACCTATATAATTTTATAGCTTAAAATTTTACGATGTTATCGTTTTAATCTGGCAAAATTTATTAGTAAAGCAAATCAAGATAAATTTAATTATGTAACTCATTACATTTTTAATTCATTGCTTCAAATAACAAAGAAATCTTGTTTTGCAATTTCAAATTTGTAAATTATATTTAGGAACAATTAATTTTTGCAGGGGTTGAAGTAATTAACTCATAAATAGGAGTTATTGATCCTCCTTAATCAAGCACTTATAATAAAAGTCCAATTTTTGAAGAATCCACTGAAGAAGAAATTTAAATCTAAAATTGAGTTTATGACTAATAAGGATAAAGAATTAAGGAATTATCAGATGAACCTTTCAAAAAATCTGTTAAATCTTATTCTCTCAAAAATACTCTAAGTTCGTACTTATAAGGAGAATCATCTGAGTATTAACAAGAAGTAGTAACCATCATATTTGAAAGTGCTTAATCATTAGAACGAGTAATAGTTAATTTTGAACAGATAGGAGGTTAATTAATAGTCAGTTTTATGGTATTTAGACTAGGCATCATATTGTTTGTATATTATGCTGTAAATTTAAGATTAATGTTATTCCCCAATTTTAACTCTTCTAGACTATTAAATAACTTAAATTAATGAGAAAAATATTTAGGTTACAGTATTGCTATTATCTGATAGTTATATATAAGTGCAATTGATAGATCTAATAACTAAGATTTTTAATTGAATGGGATTAGAAATGTAAAATTCAGCTATTCATAATTATTAACCTATCTCATTAAATAACCCTAATTGAAATCTAAATCTAAAACAGGGAAATCATCCTCAAGAAAAACGATAATTTATGTAAATTTTTAAATTTAGTCAAATTTGGTTACTATGACTGACCATTCCTACACAGTTAAGGAAGAAATTGAATTCTTCTTAATAAACTAAAATGTATCTGTAACATTGACATTAATTAATTATTTTAATTAATTTATGCAAGTGCTATTTAAAGTTAAATCCTTACAGGCTACTTGGACATACAAATCTGGATCAGTATTCCAATCATATATTGTGTCTAAATCTCTACATTATATCTATAAATTGAGATCCTTTCTAATACTCTAGATTTCTTTGTTATTAAATTTGCATATTAATCCAGCATATGGGATTTAAATACTCAAATTTTATTATTGAGCCTTATTTGTATTTAAATTTGTTGCATTAACTTAGAACGTATAACTTGTATTAGGACTTAATGTATATTTTAGAATGCTAGCTTAAATTTTTTCAAAAGGATTAGATTACATGGATTTATTTAATTGTGAAGAAGATGACTTTTTAGGATATCTATCAATTTCACTAATTTCAATCAAATATTTAGAACTATCACTTTAATTTGATTAATATAAAGTGTTAGCAGATAAACCTATAGTAATTGTCTCATATACGAAATATTAAGGTTTTACAATTATATCAATGTATGGAAGGCTTCCTGAATGAGTTTATATTGTAAATTCTGATTATGAATGAATATTAATGAAATTTTCATATTAGATCTTAAATTTGAGAATTCCATCACCAGGTAATGTAAGTTTGGGTATAAGTAAATTATATTCCTAAAGTAAATTGATTTATGTAATGAAATCTCTCAAGGATTCTGTAATTTGGCTTGTTTCTGCTTAAACAGTCCATTTGATATTATTTAATTTTCTAAATCCATATTTTTTTATTGATTTCAAATAAATTGAGTTTTCTGTATAAGGATTCAATTTGTGTAAAGGTACAATATACTCAATTTATGGAGCCAATGGGTTTAGTGGCAATTATAATGTTGGAAAAATAAACTTGTTTAGATTAGTAATCACAATTAACATGAGATAAAGAATTACTTAGAAATAGTAATTCATCACCTACATTTATTTTTGAGTTTTCTCCTAAAGTTATAAATAATTGATGATTATCATCTGGATCAAGAAAGCATTAACAATTTAACCCAAAATTTGAGACAGATTCTAATTCAAATAATTACAAACATTTATTTAATTCAAATTATGAATTAAATGATTTTGAATTTAAAACGAAATCAAAATGAATAATTATTCTACTGATATCATCTGATAAGTATACTTTAATAACTGCAACTTAACAAGCTAAAAATATTGAAATTCACTTACTTGAACACCAAGGAGTATTATAATACCAAATTGAATTTGGTGGAGGCACGCAATTCATATCATCATTTATTATTCTATTGGCATTACAAGATAAACACCCAAATTTATTACATTCCAAACAGGAGCTATCACATAATTAACAATCTTCATTTAATTGATCATCAAAATAGCCTGGTTGACATATGCATTAAGGTTCTTAAATTCTATTACCTTTACATTTGTTGCAATTCGATGATGAATTACTACAAGTAACACATTGAAATGCACATTCTATATAAGATTGTTAATAATTAATACAATCGCATAATATGGACCCATTTTCATAATATCCATCACTACATTTACAATCGTTTCCAGATCTTCCTGGTTTACAAGTCAAACAATTTTATGGTTAAGTAGCACATGTATTACATTAATATGCACACACTTATTTTAAGATAATAAATACTTTAACATGTCAATTATAAATCTTCATAATATCCATCAATACAATTACACATTGGGGGTTTAAATCGTATTGAATTTTAACAAATTTAACAGTTATTTGAATCATTTATACAACTTTTACATTTAACATTGCATTTTTAGCATTATAATTACGTTCCATCATCATAATAACCTTCTTTACAATTACATTAATCAGACAAAGACTTTCTGTTTGAATTTAATTCAAATTTACAACTTAAACATTAATCACTTACATTTATACAAGTTTAACATTTATAATGACATTCTTTAAATAATATTTGGATATTTACTTTAACAAATCTAATTTTGATCTTGATAAAATCCAATTATACATGGACATTTGTGAATAAAGGATTAATCTATTCTTTTTGAATTGGAATCACAACTTGTACAATAATCAGGCGAACCTTAACATGTTAAA